GAGAAAATAATAAGAATAATGAACAGCCATATACCAGAGACATTTTGCGGGGGTGGAGTGGGGAATGGGATGAAAAACCGGGGGGTGGGGAGGGAAATGCACGGGATTATGGTGATGGCACACGGGTGACTTGGTGATGGGGTAACCCGAGGGGATTACAATTGAGATGGGGAAAAAAATGTACAAAATGATGTAAAAATAAACTGTTATAAAATAAAAAAATAAATAAAGGATTTCAACCATTAAAAAAAAATTAATCAGTAAAAAAAAATGTTCCACCATCTTCTGGTCTGTGCGGTCTTTGGTGGAAAATCTGTGATATTGACAAGTTTGTTCTCCCTGAACATTGAGTTCTGTTCCTCTGGCTGCTTTCAAGATGTTCTCTTTGGCCTTGGCTTTTGGCATTCTGACATGCGGAGGTGCGCTTTTTGTTTATTCTCAATTGGGCTTTTCCAGTCCTGAGTTTCTTGAAACTCCCATTTTATAGAAATACCTGCAGGTGGCAGTAGAAAGCTTCCCCTGCCAGGAGCTGCATTTGCCTCCTCCCTCTGCTGTGATTGGCGAGAAGGGGCCCAACCTCAACTTCTCAGAGCCACAGGCCTTCCCTTCTCTAAAGGAGCAGACACAGTCAGCCTTCACTTGCTCTAAAACCTAGTAAAGATGGTGTGACCTCCGACATTGGATTTCTCTCAAGATTTCCAATATGGGATATGGTGGGTCCGGGCAGACCACTAGTCACTCACTCTGCCCTCCCTCTGTAGGCCTGGTGCTCCAAGATCTGTGAGAAAATTGAAAGGGTTGTTGGCCACATGGAGTCACCGGTACTGACCTCACTGAAATGAGGTGATGGAGACAGCAAGACCTGAGCAAAGGGGAGTAGAGTTCACCTCTATGGGCTAGAGAGTTACCCATAAAGAATCAAAAGCATAAAGACACGGAAATGGAATCTTGGCAGTTTTAAAAGGATGTTTAAAAGAGAAGTTTAAAAAAAGGACAGGGCCCTCCCTCATGGCACAGTGGGTTAAAGCACAGCACTAAGAAGCTAAAGCCACTTCCGCATGAGTTCGATCCCCAACCCTGGAGGTGACCCACATGGCGCGCAGACCGCAGATCTCTCCTGACCCACCCTCTGCTCCATCTGTACTTCATCAATCTGCCTGTTCTGCTCCCCACTCTGTCTCTGGTTAATCCTCTCACTGCCCCTGCACCTCTGGCCTGTACCCCAGTTCTGTAATACATAAACAGCTCCTACAGAACATTCTATCAGCTTCTTTTTAAGTGAAGGCTCAGTGTTGAGATGGCTAAGAGGTCTTCCTGGACTAAGAAACATCAAGACTCAAGAAGGATAAAAACCATCTCTGACATCATAGCTATCTCTGAGCCTAACAGCAAGTGGTGTCTAGTCTAGAGATTATTTAAAGGCCATGCTGATAATTAATCTGTCCAGTAACTTTCTGCTCAGCCTGTTTGCCAAGCCTTCTAGGGGCCCAGGCCCATGCCCTCGGTCTAAGGCCTCTCTCACCTTACTTGGGGAAGCCCCTCTGAAGAGCCTGTCTCCCAAACAGGTAAAAGCCATAGCCTGTCTCACTCCTGTTTGTGATCTCTCTCTCCCAACTTGCCTTTATCTTTTTCCACAATTCTAAGCATTGCTGAAGGTTCTTTGAATCAAGATCGCTAAAGCTGATCTCTAAGGTGTTGACTTGACTGAGGTTGGATTGCAGGATGGTCTCACTCACAGACCCGGCAGTGAGTAGCCCAACTCTCTACCACAGAGCTTCATTCTCCTCTGTGGGAACTTCCCTTTCAGCGGCTCCAGCTTGTCAGGTGATGGTCTCAGAATTTCAAGTTCAGCAAGAAAGCAGTCCCTTAAGGCAAGTGCTTTATATCCTCTGTCTACACTGTATTGGCTAGTGCCTCACTGGCCAAGCAATCAGATGGCCAAGTCTAGATTCATATTTATTTTATTAAGACTATTTATTTGGGCTCTCCCTGGTGGTGCAACGGATTAAAGCACTGCATTATGAAGCTCTCCGAAGCCACTACAGAACAAGTTTGATCCCCAGCCAGGGAACTGACCCACATGGCGTGTCAGACCTCTTCTGACACAACCACTGCTCCCCTCAGCAGCTCCTCTGACTGTTCTGCTGTTCTGCTCCCCACTCTGTCTCTGCTAAATCCTCTCACCCCACCATACCTCTGGCCTATACCCCAGTTCTGTAAGCATAAATAAATGAATCTTAAAAAAAAAAAAGACTATTTATGCATACAAGAACTGGGGTGTAAGTCAGAGATATGGGGGCTGGGTGAGGAGATTCACCAAAGACAGAGTGGGGAGCAAAATAGGTAGACCCACCAAAACACACTGCTGAGGGGAGCAAGATAGAAGAGGTCTGCTGTGCCCTGTGGGTCAGCTCCCTGGCCAGGGATTGAACTCAGGCCACAGAGGCTGGCAATAGCTTGACAGCACTGAGAATTTAAACCCCTGTGCCACCAGGGAGGCCCTAGATTCATATTTTAATAAAAATTCACAAAATGTACACTACTTTGACTTTTCCTTTCATCACTTTAAGTTTCTCAGGCCTGTCTATTTTTACCCCCCTTCTAAATTGCGTTAGTGAAATTCTGGTGCTGGGTTTTAAAAAACAAACCCCACAAGATGCTAATGAAATAAATCTCAACAAAATGAGAGCACCCTCCCTCTTGTCCTAGAATTGCCAAAAAATCAGACATAATTCTGCTTCATAAAGCTGATTCTGATGAAGTGGTGAATCAAGAACATTCAATCTTGCTGGTCTGAAAATACATAATACTGTTCTATGCTATATTTATATCATCTCTGGAAGTGTAATTTGCATGAAGGCATCTTTTAAGACATTCAGAAATGATTGCTATATGACCAGGGCAATGGAATCTTTAAAATTTTTGCAGTTCTTGCTAGCCATTGATAACTATATTTAAATTAATCTCTTCTATTTTTAAAAAAAAACTTAACTACTTATGAGATTGTTGTTTGTTAAACTGGAAGAATGTCTGTGAGGTGTCTCTTCTCCTTCCAAGCATAAAAGTAAAATTCCATTACTCTGTTTAATCTTGTTTTACAAA